CCAAGCTCCCCAAATTCCAAGCTCCCCAAATCCCAAGCTCCCCAAATCCCAAGCTCCCCAAATCCCAAGTGAACAATTTACACACGAATTTAAACAATTTAAGTAAACTAATGATTGTAAAAGCAAATGAGTAAAGTACGTGTTAGTGCTCCATTAGGAAGTGATTAGATATCGATGCACAAAGTCTCCAAAATCCCAAGCTTCTCAAATCCCAAGCTCCCCCAATCCCAAGCGAACAATTTACACACGAATTTAAACAATTTAAGTAAAGTAATGATTGTAAAAGCAAATGAGTAAAGTACACGTTAGTGCTCCGTTAGGAAGTAATTAGATATCGTTGCACAAAGTTCAGGACGATAATTTAAGACGGCAAGCGGGCTAAATTAGAATCGGACATTTCAGCAAGATCGCAATCGATATTCAATTACAAGGGGAAAACAACGAAGAGGTCTCGCTTCTCCTTTCAATGCGAATAATCCAAGCGAATACGTTCTTCTCTCGTAAATTTCCATTCCTCTCGGTCGACGCTACGAAAGTACCTATCGATTCTCACTAAAAATACAAGGATCGTTCCTCTGGAACTTGGGGCGACCGATATCCACCGATATAATACCAGTTCACGGTAATTCCACTATTCGTTACACGGCTCCATTTCGCCCTGAAACTAGCGGCCAGGGCAGTTATGAATCTGAATACGAGTGTGAACGAGAATGCACCGCGGTGCACCGCAGCTTGCCCAGTAATTTTGGTCTTGCCCTCGCCACGTGTGCACCTACACATCGTGGGTAACGTAATCAACCCCTAACGGTCCTCTACGTCTCTCTTCCTCCTCTCGAACAGAGATATTTCGTGACTTTGAAGGAACCGCATACAATCTCTATCTCATACTTTGCTTTGAACTAAATTTAGTAGCCAACGCTCGGGTTTGAGTAAATATTCGAAATATTTGTACGATCTTTAAAATCCGATTTTCTCGAGCGAACGCTTCTCAAATGAAGATGGTAAAGCGATATCTGATACGTGGATTTTAGTACTTTCGAAAGGTTTCTAAGCTTCTCGTACTAAATTTTGGTCCCTTCTCCGATTCAGATGGCTGACGGTAATGGCTCCATCCGAAGTTTAGGAGTTCGAAGGATTCCTAAGCTTTCTACAATAAATTCGAAATCTTTCCCAAATTCGAGTGGTTTATAATATCGAGGAAAGCTTTAGAACTCGAGGGATATTTGCGCTTTCTGTATTAAATCTTCTCGGTCGAATTCAGATCGCTTATAATAGCGGAGATCTCCCTAGATGCGTGAAAGATCCTTAAGCTTTGCATAATAATTGTGAAATCTTTCGCGAATTCAAGAGGCAAGCTCCCAGACCCTACGTCAGGAACTCGGAAGATATATTATTGTGTTCCGGTACTAACTTTGATATCTCTAATTCACTTCGCTTACAATAACAAAACGCTATCCAGAACACACAATCTAGATTCAGGAGTTCGAGCGATATATCCATCATCTTCAAGCGAATGTGGAATCTTTCTGAAACGCAGCCAGATAATATTATCCCGCAAAACGACTCCTCCGTTCAAAAAACTTGTTTACTAACTTTGGAATCTTTTCCAAATTGAAATAGCTGAATACTGGAGAGACTCCTTTTCAGAACGGAACTTTTTACCTCTTGCAGTAAATTTCCAACCTATCTCAGACGCCCATTAATAATTGCTCCTAGCTTCTCCAAGTATTTTCAAGCAGTTTGCAGCTATTTTAAAAACGTCCGCAACAAATTTGAAACGTACTTCAAATTCAGATATCGCGAATCAACAGATCTTCATGCAGAATTCGAAGGATGTGTAGAACTCAGACGTTCTGACTAGCGCCTAACAGAAAATAGAAGGCTCCCTTCGAAAACACAGCTCCCAATCACAAAAGTGAAATCCCGCTGTGTTCACAAAGCATGCGTCGTGCACACTGCTCGTAAAACCAACCCGCGAGGTAACACGCTGGCTCTTTAACCGTTATTACACGAAGAGAGATTGGTATCGACAGGGTACAAGTTGGCTCGAATGATTCGGCGTGTGCTCGAGGGCGAACAATGGAGAGACGGGGATTCAATTTTACGCGGTGTTAGAATGGATTTACTCACGTTCGTCGAGATTTCCTTGGCGGCTCGTCGGTGCCTCGTCACTAGGTCCGTCAATCGATCGACGAAGCATCAATGTGTCGATGCTGATCGCTGACTCGAAGATTCCTCGTTCTCGTAGCCAACCGCGCTCCCCACGTATCCGCGGCTCTGGAACACATAGGCCTTCATTAAATCGCCTGCCATGACTTTAACGATCGATATCGCGAGAAAGGATTTTAGAGTGCATTATCAAATTCATGGTTGCACCGTCGAATGCTAATTAGCCTCGCTGTAGATGCTGGCTAACTTATCCATTTTTAACGCTGGCTTTAATTGCGTGCTGACTGCAATTTTAATCGGTAAAGTCTGTTTTTTGCTGGTTGCAGGATTGAAGTTTCTTGATGGTTTTAATGGATGGGTCATTTGAGGATGTAATTAGGAGAATAAGTGCCCTGTTACTTCATCGTGAATATTTAAATAAATTTCAATTTTAGAACATTATAAATAATGTTGGAATAAGAAATTCCTCTTTTATCATTAACTCGCGATAAGATTTAAAAATATTACAAGCATGTGTCCTTTCCAATTTGTGAATTCTTCAAAAAGTTATTACTATCAAAATATGTGAGTATTATAGAAAATATTAGCCCTCAATTTGAAGCAAAATATACCTCTAACAAATAAGCCATAAAGTGTTTTATTGCTGTGTATATAGCTAATTTGGATACAATTAGAAATAAAACAATTTTCATTCAAGGGTCACACGTTGGATGATTAAACACTGCCATACTGGACGGAATACCCAATTCAGTAATTGGGTCAATATGCCCACCGTGTTTGCACTGTTTCAACAATTGGACGTGTAAACGCGTGTGTAAACACTTAAAGCTCTGAGCAATCTGACTTTATAGAATTAAAGAACTGCAAGGGATAGGAGATACAAAAACCAACTCAATATTTGCGAGTTATTAGGTACTTCACGGAGGGTTGCAATTGTTCATTAAAGCAGGAGCCACAAAGAGAAGGGAAGTGTTTAATCGAGCAGCGACTGTGAAAAGATCAATATGTACACAGTTGGATAAATGAAAAACTGTTGTGGAGGATATACATTTTATTTACTTAGAAAACATACTTATGGACTGCTTTGGTAGCTGTGATTCGTGAGGAGATCGATTGCAAGGAATTATTTTCTGCATTTTCTGGAGTTGCTAATACAGTTTCTTTCTAAGTCTTCAAATTGTCAGTTCCTTTATTTTTCTAAATTTCAGATTCTCAAGAATATAAATTGTTAAATTTCCAAACACCCACGCCTTCAAATTTCCAAATCCTCAAATCTCCAAAGCCACATTCCCAATTCTCCACAGTTCCAAATTCTCAAATTTTCCCACATCCCCCAATTCCACATTCTCCGATTCCACATTGCCCAATTACACATTCCCCAATTCCACATTCCCCAATTCCACATTCCCCAATTCCGCATTCCCCAATTTCCACATCCCCTAATTCCACATTTCCCAATTCCCACATTAATCAAATTTTCACATCCCCAAATTCTCACATCTCCAAATTCTCACACCCCCAAATTCTCACACCCCCAAATTCTCACACCTCCAAATTCTCGCACCCCCAAATTCTCACATCCCCAAATTCTCACACCTCCAAATTCTCACATCCCCAAATTCTCACATCCCCAAATTCTCATATCCCCAAATTCTCACATCCCCATCCCCACATCCGAATCCCTAAATTTTGAAACCCCTACGTTCCCAAATTCCCACACTCTCACATCACTCAATTTCCAAATTCTCAAACCAAGTCTCCTAACCTCTCCAAGTCATCCAAATTCTCAATCCCCAAATTTCAGAAGTTTGGAAATTTGATCCTAACAAAATTTGAGAGTCGGAAAATTTATAGATATAACAATTCTGAACCACCTGCACCCACATTCTTGCGTCCCAATAAAAGAAATACGAATGGCTGTCCACATCGCGCAAATAATGAGATGTCTTCCCTTTGCTCGTCGCAATTGTTTGTGGGCATGATCCAGGTGGCAAGAAAGATGAGGGTGACTTTAGATGTAACCGCGGTTCCGTGTCTCGAAATACTCGATGACAAGGGACAGAAGGGTAAGGTTAGATGGAACCGTACTTAGGTGTACGCGAAACCGTACTTACAGCCGGTGTATGCTGTTGTTATCAAAATGCGCGCGAGGGAAAGAGGGAGCAGTTTAAAAGGGTGGTTCATTGGCGTCGCGAAGGTGACGTCTCATAGAAACTCGCACACAGAGATTCTGGTCGCGTATACAACGGACGCGTTAGCGGTAGCTATATTCGAAACTTATGCATCGCGTTCTTTCGAGTACAACCCTTTTCTCTTGCACGCTACCACTCTCATTCTTCGACACTTTTTTAACGCAACTCTCCTGTCGCTTCTCTTCTGCCGGCGGTTCCGGCTTGCGCCATCTTGCTCTTTCCCTGATTGTACGCCGATTCGAGGCTGGAAAGACTCGTAGACGACCGCGTCGCGTTCTCACAATGGAACAGTGCGAGACAATCGACGATTCACCGACGGATACGTTGAATGAAAACGTTCTGGTTAGATGGTCAATTAGTCTGGATAGCGATGAAGCCAATGAGCCAGTTGTATGCCCAGTATTGTGTTTCTTGTTTCACGCGTCGCGCTTTCTAAATCTAGAATTACGTTTTGAAGCCATTCGACAGTTTCCGTGTTTTTTACTGCCTCTGAAGTACTATAAACGTACTTGAGACTTTGTCGAAATATACAGTTACAAACTTGTGAGTTTTCATGACAACGTAGACTATACGATATAGATTTAACATTAAAACTACCAAACCGCTCCATAAGTTTCTTATTGTAAGGAACACATTTTGTTAAAGTACATTCCTTAAAATCAGCATTGATTTTCATCAAGATAAAGAATAAAAGTGTGTACTAATTTATGTTTGGTTGATTGTTTATTTATTTTTCAACTTCATTTTTAATTTCAAATTAAGTACACATTATATTGCGGTAGGTTTAGAATGAGTTGTATAATTGCACACATTTACTGATATCCATCTCCGTATCACACAAATACATACTTTTGAGCTGATTCTATTTAATAGTAATTAAAGTGATAATTTTTTAAGAATATCGCTGTATAATTGTACAGAGGAAACTAATGTAAAAATCGTAGCGATAAAATTAAACAAAACGAATGAATACGTATATCAGTCCAGACAAGTTTGCGAGTGGCAGAAGCGTTAAATTTCACTTGAAACGAGTGGGTGACAGGTAAAATATTAGCAAAATCGTGAAAAGTTTAGCACAGGAGAAAAAATTGCTGCTGGTAAAATATAATGGGCAGAAACTGGGAAAGGAAACTTCGGTGAAGTTCAAACAAGTTCATTCGAAATTAACTAGCTTTAGCCACTAATTATAATGGTTCGTGGAACGTAGTGCTTCGGGTCACAAAACTTTTCGGCTCCCCAGTGTCCCTGATATCGTTTACATTAAACTTCCTCGCTGAAAAAGTGCAAACTATTGTAAGATAATTTCATGTTAAACACACACGTGATAGAAGTAAGGACCTGAAAATGTTTGCAGAAATAATTAAATAGGTCCTTAGGATCTTTATGCACCGGAAGGTTAATTACAATCGTAGAAATAATTACGATACTGGAACACCGTCCAAGTTTTCAAACGAGAATGACGAGAACTCGGTGGAAGAACTCCGTGGCAGGATAATTACCGATAAAATGTAATTTCTCGTCTGAGATTGATTAAAAAGCCGGCTCGGCTCAAAGAATGCCACGACGGATATAAACGTAGCGAAGTGAAGTTCCGAATGCAGGTACGGAAGAAAAAGGCTCGCACAGAGTAAGAACAATCAACAAAAGAAATCGGTCGAGTGACTGGCTATTAATTCAGCTTCACCGAGTCAGAAAAGTGGTCTTCCTGCGGTGCAGATGTTGAAACTTTCCTACCGATCGATGATGCTTCTCGTCGCCGCGGATCTAGCGGCTATGGATCACCGTTGACCCGAATAAACTTTCATTTTTCATTCGTTGCGTCCGTCTCAAAGAATCGCCGAATCGCCGAGTAATTAAGAATTATTCCCCTCCCGGGGTTTTATTAAGTCGAGCGTCTTTTGTCTACGGCGCTCAGAAATCGCCGAGGAGATATTCAATTATCCTGTCTTAAAATCACCTCGTGATGAAAATGAATTACGCGTCCGCTTTCGAGCTTCGTAGACTACCCGACGAAATCCTTTCATCATCTCGACGAGAATATTCGCGACGGATGATAATAAACAAATCGATTCGATTCGGCAATAATCACGGAAACTGCAACACCTTTGGCTATTTATCACGGACCGTCCGCTCTGGTAATTCATTCTTTCGCCAATCGATGTGGCCAGATTTTTCCGGGCTGCGGCTCGTAATTCAAAAGCGAACGAACGGCAACGTCCTCTCTGCGACGAAAAATCGAATTTTGCGAGAATCGCAAGATGAACATATAGCCATTGACACATGGGTATTGGAGTTATAGGGAGACCACGCGAACAAAATGGACATCCATCGCGAGTCTGTTAACTTCAAACTAATACGACTGTTAGTTTCCAGACACGTTCCGACACACGCGATCTACGTGAGCAGTTTCTTTTAACTCGTAACAACCGCGAATAAATATCCTGTTTTTGTTCGGAAACAGCAAAGAAATGCAATTTAGTGCGGTGTACCGTTATCTGGCATCGGTGAAACTGTTACGCGGCAAGGAATTCCAACACTGGCGACGTTTGGCCATTCTTGCGCTTATCAGTAATTCTTTCCCTTAAACCGTTTCGTCCTTATCCAAACTAGATATGTTCCGTGCTGGCTGATAACAACAATGTCGGTTCCGTTCGTCGTTCCTTCCACCCGTAGATACACCCTTCATTGGATCGAAGAAAAAGCTCGTTTTCCTATTTCGTCCCTAATAAGTGTTCTTGGCAAGGCTCCCAGACACGACGTTACAACGACCACATCGAACTATACAGAGGGTTATCTCGATTGTATAATGTCTATGGGATTGTAGAACGTAATTCCATTTAGAATTCTACTTAACGTGATAGTAATTCGCAATTTGATGAAGCAATTTCAGCTGGATTGGAGAGTGGTAATTGGGGA